AATTCTGGCTCCACTGGAGAGTAGCCCGAAAACTCTGGATGCTTTGTTGCCTCTGATAGGTGCCCCAGAGCAGGCTCCTACACTCTGCTCTGCTCCCAGGGACTTTTCCAGGCTGAGCCCTGGCTCCCAGGCAGGGACTAGGGACCAGTGGGATTAGAGACACCAGGGGTCTTGCCCTCATTTGCTGAACTCTGCCCCAAACCACTTCTGCCTTATTTATTCTTTTTGCAACCCAGAGGGGGCCTGAAAGGGTACTGAATCTTCCCTACCCCCCCCCTCAGAAAAAAACCCACTAGGCCTGCGACACTTCCTATGTCAGGGCTGTCATCTCCCTCCAGGCAGGCCCCTGAGCTGCTGTCCAGCCCTCCAAGAAGTGGAACCCAGCAGTTCTCTGAAGTTTTGTAGGGGTTCTCATGGTGCCAGGGCCAGTCCCTGCAAAGGCCCGGAGAGCAAAGGTATAACTCTCCATTGAAGTGAGAGCAGGGTTCCATCGGAAGAGCAAGTGGCTTTCCAAGAGCCCTGACCAAGGAAGGTGGCAGGCCAGATGAAAGTTACGGTCTGGGAAGTTGCTCCCAACTTCATCCTTCCATCTGTATGCCTGTGCTTTGGCCTAGGCACATCCCCACCCTCTTTACCGCCCTAATATGGGCCAGGGTAACAGACCATCATCCCAGGAGGGAGCACTTTGTATAAGCTATCCCAGGGAATTTTTCTGTTTTGCAGCTACTCAACAATCTTTTTTTTAAAATATATATTTTTATTGCTTTCAGAGAGGAAGGGAGAGGGAGAGTTAGAAACATCAATGATGAGAGAGATTCATTGATTGGCTCCCTCCTGCACACCCCACACTGGGGATCGAGCCTGCAACCCAGGCATGTGCCCTGACCGGGAATTGAACCGTGACCTCCTGGTTCATAGGTCGAAGCTCAACCACTGAGCCATGCTGGCCGGGCTCAACAATCTTTTTTGAACAAACATTCCTTATGATGTCCAGCCACAACCTGGGACTTAGAGTTTTCTAGCTATCATTGGATCTAGCTAGGGCCTTGTCATATAAACCCAAGAGGCAAACCAGGAGTTACTGAACATATTAGTACAGGCATGATTGCTGGCTGGATAGACAGAATTATAGGGGGCTTCTCAACTTTACAGGTGGGAGGGCTCCTTTTAAACTATAACTTCTTTCCTGGTTTTTGATATGCTTCTCATTCGGAAAGTCTGATTGATAGGCGGCTTTTCTAGCATGTCTGTGGTGGAAAGTAAGGGCCATGGCCACAGTAGCTGGGCCAGTGTGGTATTTTGTTCTGGCCACAGTTTGGATAGAATGTGTTGAAGCCAAGGGGTTCAGGGTGGGAGAAGCAACCTTGTCTCCAAAGAACCTGGGGTGATCTGTAGAAGAACATAGGCTGACGGGCACTACTTCAAAGAGGAGACAAAGGGGGGCTGAGAAAGTTGCCAAAGTGGAAAGGCAAGTTGAGCGGAGAAGTGGGAGGTGTCCCTATGCAGGCTATGGGCAGCCAAGAGGCCCCTCCAATCCCGGAATGATCCAGGTTCTGAGGCCTAAGAGGACCGAGTAAGTGTTGGAGAATGAGGGAGAAACAGGGCTGGAAGGAAAGAGGCTGAGAGTACACGCTGGATGGCGCGGCCTGGGCATCCGTGGGCAACTCGAGAAGGGGAATTCCTGCCAAGTCAGGGAATGAGCCATTGGCAGAGACAGCATGGCTGTCATCAGGAGCAGTGATCTCAGCCTGCTGGCCCCGCCTGGCTGCAGCTCACCCGATGGGTAAGTTGAAGAGCAGGGAGCCAGGTGGGGAAGGGCTGGCAGGCTGGGGAACCACAACAAGGTCATTGGGAAGGGCAGCCTGACTGACCTGGAGCCACAAAGGTCATTCAGGTGGCCCATGGCTCCCCAAGGTGAGGTTGGCACAAGATTTTCATCAAAGGGGTAGGTTTGCTTTGGCTACAACTCCCAGATCATGGGGCTGTGCTTAGTTCTGAGTGGCTGGGGAAGGTAGGAACTTATGGGATTCCCACAGGTCCTGGGTTCCAGGTCACTAGTAAGCATTAGGGCCAGTCACTGTGAGCTGGTCGGGACCGTGCTGTCCTCTCTCCCCACCCTTCCCAAGAGGAAGGCCTCTGCTCTGGCTCTTCTGTGTCTTGAGCCTTCAGCCTTGGTTTAAACCACAAACACTCATAGGAGGGATCCACCATTAGTCCTCCAAAGCTTCTGGCCTGGCCCTGTCAGACCTTCCCACTCTCTCACCCTGAGAGCTTGGTAAAGAAAACCAAAACGATGATGAATATGATATTGAAGGTAGCCAACTTCTATTGAGGGCTTACTAGGTACCAGGCACTGCCATAGACATAGGTTACCTCATTCAATCCTCATTACAGCCTTGTGTCATAGGTTGTTTTTTTCTCTCACAGCAACAGTATTTTTAAAATTTTTTTTATTGATTTCAGAGAGGAAGGGAGAGGGAAAGAGATAGAAACATCAATGATGAGACAGAATCATTGATGGCTGCCTCCTGCACACCCCCCACTGTGCCCTGACCTAGAATCAAACTGTGACCTCCTGGTTCATAGGTAAACCCTCAACCCCTGAGCCATGGCAGCAGGGCACAACAACAGTATTTTTAATAATCTCTAATTCAAAATTTTTCAAATTCCCCTAAACAGCAAAATGAATAAATACTTTGTGATATAGTTCTAAACGTTATACAACAAAAATGAATGATCTACAACTATCTGCAACAATGTAGATGAATCTCACAAATTGTTTGTCAAAAGAAGCCAGACCTGAAGACATTTATAGCATAACATTCCATTTATATAAAACACAGAAAGAGATAAAGCTAATATATGCCCCAAGAAGACAGTGGTACCAGTTTTGGGGAGTGAGGTAGGTTCTTATCGCCAATTTAAAAATAAGGAAAGTGAGGCTTAGAGAGTTTAATTGACTTGCCTAAAGATACACAGCTGGAATAGGAACCCAGGTCAGTGGTTAGAGACCTCTGAATTCTTAGTAAAATGGGAAAGTGTGTGTGTGTGTGTGTGTGTATGTGTCTGTGTGTCCATTAGTGAGTTTCAAGGGCAAGATAAAGGAAACTCAGGGGACAGCTGGAACCTACCACAATTTTGATAGTAGAACCTCATAGACAAGAGGCCAGCAGAGACCTGTGTGTCTCCAGGATCTGGAATCCCCTGGGGAAAGTGTGCCCACTTAGAAAAGAAAAAAGTGCCAGGCCAGTGTTGCTCAGTGGTTGAGCGTCAACCTGTGAACCAGGAGGTCACGGTTTGATTCCTCATCAGGGCACATGCCAATTGCAGGCTCCATCCCCAGTGTGGGCCATGCAGGAGGCAGCCAACCAATGATTCTCTCCCTCTCCCTTCCTGTCTGAAATCAATAAAAATATATTTTTAAAAAATAAAAGAAAAAAATTGCTCTTGGTGCTTATTTCAGGGATTTGGCTATAGGTAGCCAAGAGGTCTCAAGGGCCAGTGCCCCACTGCAGCCCTTAGGGCTTTCCCTGGAAACCTATCATCGGCAGCTGCCTTCACAGGTGTCACCCACCACCACTGTGCCAAGGACGATCTTTTTGATCTTTTCCCATCGCTTGGGAAGCAGGCAGATGCTGGTGGCTGAGCAGGTCCCTGAGCCGCAGGCCTTTGGCTACCCCTGCTCCTCAGAGAGCCCTCCTGCCCCTGGGGCCCTTTCAGCCTTGCAGCTTTCTGCCAAAGAGATGCCAGGGTTCAGGCTCTGTTGGCACTCCCATCCAGACTATGTAGAGCCATAAGGAGGGACAGTTGTCAGCGCCTCCCTCCTAGAGCCTCCTGGCTGTAGGACAAGGTTGGGAGGCTTGTGTGGAGGCTGAGGCAGGTCAAAGGAGAGGGTAAGGGGGGGAGAAGAGGAAACGGGGGTTCAAGTGGATGTCTCAAGCAGAGCAGCCTGGCTTTGGACCAGAGGGGGCATGAGCTTTCTCCCAGCACCCCAATTCAGACTTTTTGTACCTGCTGTGGCAGCCCTGCACCTCTCTCCCCCGCCCTTCCCCCATGCATATTCTTTTGACCTCTTCCACCAGGATAGGTTCGCCTTCTCTCAGAAGTCCCCCAAACTCTCCAGTCACCCCAAGCGCAGGATGCATTTGGCCGGAGATTCCCCGGGCGTTTGGAATTTGTTCCTGAATTGTATTCTCTGGGCATCTCCTGGCCTCATCACCCGCTCACCCCGCCCTCCGGCCGGGTCCGCACACAACAGGCGCTCAATAATCTAGAGTTCAGGGCTCCGGCCAAAGGCGTCGAGCAAGTGGAGTGTACAGGCCAAGGGGGTTGGATAGAGCCATCCAGAGTCCCCGGAGAACGGAGTTCGCTCCGAGGCACTGTGTGGGGGCTTACCGCCGGGGCCAGGGCAGAGCTCGAGCTGTGCTCTCTGGGGGAGCCCTGACCTCGCCGTCCCCTGGGGGCCTACGAGCCGGGAGGGGAAGGAGAGGCCTCGCGGGCCCCTGGCACGGCTCCTCCTGCCGTGCTGGCGACAGCGGCGGGCCGGGGGTGGAGGGGCGCTGTTTCCACCACGACGCCTCCTCCCTCCCTCGCTCCCTCCCTCACCCCGCCCGCCCGCGGTCCCTCCCGTCGGTCCCTCCCTCCAGCTCTTCCCTCCCTCCCACCCAGCCTCCTTCGCGCCCGCCCCAGCCGCCGCCTGAGGGGACGTGTGTGGCTCTGGTGCAATTTCCCCTTTCGCTCGGTTGTCTCAGCGCAGGTCTCCGCTGGCTCGCGCCCCCTCCCCGGGCGCCCCCACCGGCCGCCTGGACCCTCCCGCGTCCACCCTGCCCCCCAGAGTCGTTTTCTCAGGGGCGCCGTGGGTTCACCTGGTATTTGCATCTCGCCCTCTAACTTGCCATTGGCGGCGCGACGTGTGGGAGAGCCCTGCGCCTTGCCCGCCCGGACCAGCCTGCCCCCGCGCCGAGGTGAGTCACGGGCGCGGGGCCGCGGGGGCAGGCGGACCCGGAGGAGAGGAGGGAAGGAAAGAGGGAGGCGGACGCTGGCCCCTGCGGCCGCGGGGACCGACCAGGCGCTGCGCTCAACTTCCACTTCTCCTTTCGCCGGCGCCGAGATCCCGGCGCCACTTGCCCGGCCCGGCTTCTCCAGGGAGAGGAAGGGCTGGCGGGGCTGGGGACCCGTGATCTCGGCCCCCCGGAGCGGGGAGGGGAGCACGGCGACCTATCCCGGCTCGGCGACCGAGCCCACTTCAGCTCAGGTACGTCGATGGCGCCGGTTCTTTGAGCCTTCGGAGACTTCGAAAAGTTTGTCCGAGGGCGGGAGCCAGAGCCCCGGGGCCCCCAGTGTCGGGGTTGGGGGCCCAGGGAAGGGGGGTAGAGCCGCAACCGTGTTTGAGTCCCGCTCCTTGCCTCGCCCCGCCGCGTGTGGTTGTGGGACCCCGGGTCTCGATCCCTACGTGAAAATAAGGAGACAATACTCATTCTCCCCTGTTTGTTTTAAGAAAAATTTCTCTAGTTCTTAATTTTCTGCGCCTTGGCAGCCCGGGTCCTGGACGGGACCGATCGCGACACCAGGTCCCCAAAAGCTGGGTGTCTGAGGGCGGGAGGTTGGGCGGGTCCGTGGCGGGGCTGTTAGATTGATCCCAGCGGCCCATAGGGCTTCTGGGGCCAGGCGCCTTAGGGTAAAATACACACACTCACACACACACACACACACACACACACACACACACACATGAATAATTGGATCGCCAAAATAGAGACCTCTTGGCGGGGGTGGGGGTGGGGGCCGGAGTTTGCGTGCGAGCCTCCCTGCAGCCTTCCCTCTCCCGCGTTCCCGCTCTCTGGCTCTCCCGCCTCTCAGTTCCTTCTTCTGCTGCCGGCCAGGGGACTCTGCAGGCACACAGCGCGGGATCCCCTGCCCACAGCGCTGTGCTTTTGGAGACTGCTGAGGCGATAGTGGCTTTATGAATTCCTGGTCCCTCCACCGCACCCTAACTCTGCCGTCCGGTTCCTCCCGACTGAGTTCAGGGACAGTGCAGTTCTGACCAGAATCACCTCCTGACCCCTTGGCACCTGGCTCAGCCGCGTTCTCCCAGGCTGCTCCCACCACCACCACACCCCAACCCTCGGATTTGATGGCCTTTTGATTCCTGCCCCCCATCCCTCTGCCTGAGATTGAGGCCTGTCTGGTCCTGCAGCTTCTTCTGGTTAATGTTTGACAGTTCATTGTGGCTAATCATTTTAATTAGCTCTTAAAATGGGGAGGAACAGTTAACCTTGGACTTCTCGATTTTTGCCTGGTGGGGCCTCAAATGGGAGGAGTGCTGGGGAGGTGGGGAGGTAGGAGCGGAAGTGAGGTCACCACCCCAGGGCCTGAGCCACTGCTGCTGGGCCCCAACAGCTGGTGGGCACGCCCATCAGGGACTCACCCCCTAAGAGCTGACCCCTGGCCTGAGTGCCAGGTGGGAGGGGGATGCAGGGAGCAGCTCTAGCTCTCCCCTTTGGCCCTGAAAATGTCCAGGGAACACGTATGCCTGGCAAGAATGCAAACCCCTCCTCACAGTTAGTTACACAGGGTTTGGCCGGTTATAAGGCGCTTCCTACCATTAATTCAGTGGACCCAGAGCAGAAACAACTTAGCGGGGAGTTATCTTGGGACTGAATTAATCTGGAGACTTTCTATGGCCCGCTGCCGTGTGAGGAAGAGGCTGCCTTGCATGTGGTTGTCTCTAAGCCTGGGTTCAAAGGCTGGGATTTTTTTGGGGGGGGGAGGGGGCGTTGAGCAGGCTCCACGTTGCCACCCTCACCCAGCCTCCACTGTGAGCCTAAGGAGTGGCTTGTTTGCAACTATGTCTGGCATTCCTCCCACTGCTGCACTGTTTGCTCGGTGGTTGCTCAGGAACTGGCGCCCACCCATGGACAAGCTGGGGGCCTGAAACCCACCCTCCTCCTGCCTAAGGCTAAGAGGTGGCACAGTAGCTTCTGTCTCCTCTGTCCTATATTGGGACCTAAATATGAGGGTGCTGTGGTCTGTCGTTCATGGGCCCCATTGAAAGGATGTGCAAAATACCCCAACCTGCAAAATTCAGGGCTTTTGTCCCCTGAAACCACAGCCAAACGAAACCACAGCCAGACGAAGGCTGAGGGACTGTTTTCCCAGAGAAATCCCCGCTCCTAAGTTTGGCCCTGGGCCTCACCACCCTCCCAACTTTTTCATTGTCCCTCCAATCCCTAGAACCAAACTGTCTGGGTTTTAATCTAGCTTTCGTATTTACTAGCCATGTGATCACAGTCAATCATATACCTCAGTTTTCTCATCTGTCTAATGGGACCTACCTCACCAGGTTGTAACGATTATCAGAACAGTATGTGGCACAGACTAACCTAATGATATTGCCAACACAGTGCCTAAAGCTCAGATTCAACTCAGCAAACATTTGCTGAGAGCTAGTCCCAGGACCAGGCATCAGTGGCAGTGAGGAAAATGTGGTGAAGAGGACACCACCCACCCGCTGTTGGGGCCTCTGGGTGGGGGTTGTGGGAGGGGTGGAGAGAGTGGCTGGGGCATCTATATAAATAACTGTAAGTCAAAGTCAGACTGGAATCCTTGAGCCGATGCTGGGAGCTAGGTACCCCTTTGCCTAGGGACCCTGGCTGGGTTCTGGTCTGGATGCCTCCCTCCCCCAGGCCTGTCCTGGAATTTGGGTGATTGATAAAGAAAGGGAGACCTTGTTCCCGCGTGGGCTGCAGCTGGCAAGCATTCAGTGGTATCATTTGTTGGGTTTCAGTGCAGGCTGACATTATTTAGGGCTACCCCCAAACACCCCTTAACCCAAGGAGTGGCAGGGTCCATGCCTGTCATACCCCTTGTACCTCCTGGAGGTTCCCCCATGAGGTGGGAAGGGCCTTGAGCAGCCTCATCTCCTCGGGCTTGGGCCTGACCCCAACCGGGGCTTGGTTATCTCTCTGGGATTTCTAAACTGCAAAGAGGTTTCTGGCTTCACTGCCAATTTACTCCCTTTGTGGTTCTCAGACTGAAAACTAGTTCTGCAGGGGAGAAAGGAAACTCATCCACAGTACCCAGAATCCCATGGGCGCTTTCCTAGGTGTAAGGGGCTTTTCTCATCAACACCAACCTGCCTGCAAATCTCTGGCCGCTGAGCCTCTCGTGGCCTGTAATCGTGGCCTTGCCGCTAATGCCCTGTAGCCCGGGCCCCAGCGCTGGTTGCCAAGGAACTGCTGGTCGGGGAGCTTATGAGGGTTCTGACCTCATAGGGGCTGCTGAGTTTCGATTCAACAGACATTTATTAACACCTACTGTGTGTCCAACCTGTGCTAGGTGCTGTGGAGTGGGGGTGCGCCAAGGAGACGGTGGGGGAGAGATGACTAAGACACTCAAAACCATCAGCGGCTAGGACAAACAGCCAGACTAGCGACAGTCAGGTGCTAATTGTGCTCCTCTGAGCAGGGGCCAGAGGCAGCCAGGGCTCTGAGGTCAACTGTGGCTGGAGGAGGGAGGGAAGGCTTTGTGAGGGATGAGCCTCAAGCTAGACCTTGAAGGGGGTGGGGCGGCGAGGAGAGATTTGACTAGGCAGAAAGGAGAGAAAAGACGCCCTCCTCTCTATTCCCTG